GGAGCAGTGCGGCGCCCAGTGTGTGCCCCGGGACCCGGGGAGCCGTAGGGACGAGTGGGACAGGATGGCTCGGTGCGGGGCCTCCACGGGGCCCGCCCCCTGGCCGAGGCCCTCCAGGGGGACAAACTGGACTACCTTGCCCCTACTGCTGCTTGCCGTCGCGCTCCTAGCCGGGGCCCTGCCCTGGATCGAGGCCGCCAAGAAAGTGTCCAGTGCAGCCCCCAGCGCCGCCGGGGCGGGCGCCAAGGCCGCCAAGGAGCACGTCGAGTCCATCATTGAGGACGTGTCGGCCAAGCAGCTGGAGCGCGTGCTAAACGAGAAGGACTTTGTGGCCGTGTTTTGGTGTAAGTGTCAGTGCAGTGCAGTGTCAGTGCGCGTGCGCGTGTGCGCTCGCGTGTGGGCTCGTGTGCGTCGCATCGTGATGAAGCTGGTGGTTGTCTTGGTGGCGCTGCGCTCCGCCTCGCCACGTGCAGTCCGCCTCCGGACACGACCGCCCCAATTATAGCCCAGGCACCGCGTGGACCCCGCGGCCTCGAGCCTCAGGCCTCGGGCCTCAGGCCTCGGGCCGGGCCCAGCCTCCGCCCGCCAGGCCTCTGCCGCAGGGCAGCGTACGGTCAAGCCCTGGCGCCGCGCTCACCCTGCGGCCTGTGCCGGGCCCGGCCTCCACCCACCAGGCCTCTGCCTTAGGGCAGCGTACGGTCAAGCCCTGGCCTCGCGTTCTCGCCGCGGCCTCTGTTGGACCGGGCCAGGCCTCGGCCTCTGCCCCGGGGCCGTGCACGGTCAAGCCCTGGCCCGGCGTGCACCCCGCGGCCTCCGCCCGCCAGACCTCGACACTCCTGCCCCGGGGCAGCGCACGGCGAAGCCCTGTCGCACTGGCGCAGCATACGGCACAACCCGTGTCGCTCTCAGAGCTATGCACACGGATGCGGAGAAATTGGGTGATTTTCATGTCCCCTAACTCCGCTTGACTGGTGGGTGTGCTTCGTCGGGGGCCTCTGAGCACGGGGCAGTGCCACGGGGGCGGCCAAAGACGAACTGTTGCGAAGACCTCCCGCGCCCGCGCGTGAAATCGGACACCGATTGACTCTGGACTCCGGCTCTCCCGTCGCTGACGCGGTGCTCTTGGACTGAGAATAAACGGAATGGTGCTGCCTTCGCCCGCGAGGGGGCGACCTCGTCCTGACGGCGGGGTGCTCGCCACGGCCTCAAGGGTGTCTGGCAGCTGGTCACGTGGTCTCGCGGGTCGAGTGTCTCTGATGTCACGTCCTCTCGGCTCTAGGCGCGGGCGGGCCGATCGCTGAGGCGAGCGCGCGGAGGGCCGCCAGCTCCTGAAAATCAGAGTGGCATCGGGTGCCGATGTCGCAGCCCTAGCAGCCTGACAGAGGATCAATATGTCGGTCAGGGTGAGCGCCACGGCACTCTGCTCTCGCCCGCACGCCCCGTGCCCCGCCCGCCCGTCCCTGCCCGTCCCGTCCGCGCGGGCCGAGGCGCTCGCCGAGGCGCGAGGCGGCGCCACCACGCCGCCCCAGCTATTTGTGGCCAGAGCCCAGGCCGGGCCCAGGGGGTAATATCACCCGCAAAACTGGGAAAGCGAGAAAACGCGCCGAAAAACGCGCGGGCGGGGGCGGGCAGGCAGCCGGGCGGATATCAGAGCCGACACGCTCCGCCAGCCGCGCATTGCCAGCCGCAATTGACAGCCGGGGTCACTTTGGCCGGAAGGGGTGCAACAGGTGCCCGTCTGGGCGTGGCAGGCGAGGCGTGGCGTAGCGAGTCAATGCCAAGTGCGCTGCCGGCTGAAGGTAGAGTCCTCACGGCTTTCGTCTTATTTTGTTTGAAGAGACGCAATCTTTGAAGAAAATCGTTTTGCACAAATTTGATATGCAAACATTTCCCTCCATTTTCCTGCGGGAGGGTGTATTTGTTGGGGAAAGAGTTTCTCCAGGACGCATTTAGGTGTGTCACTTTGCGCTGGTATGGCGGGGGTGGTTTTGGAGGGGTGATTGAGGGTCATGCAGGAAGCCCCTTCTGGCGCTCTTGGGTACTGTAGGGTAGGTCAGTGACCTCGACCTTGGTCTCCCTGACGGGGTAGGGTGGAGTAGAGAGAAGGACCATTGGCACGTGTCAGTTTTCATATGACGCCTATTTATCACAACCCACTTTTCATGTGCGATCTGTTTGTAGACAGCAGAAAACCAGTGTCCCATCGGGTTTTCGGTTTAAGTTTACCGGATCAAAATGCCTTTAATTTTAACTGTATTGTCACCACCAATTCAACCGCGTAGCACTGAGTCAATGTCCCTGGAATGACGGGGACGAAGAGGATTGGGTGGTTTAGAGTTAACTGACGATGATGCACCAAAAACAGGGTTTTGGCCCAATGTAGGCGCTTGAAGCCCGAGAGAACATTTACTTATCACAACGCTTTCTTTAATTTCATGGTAAAAACGATGTCTCATTTTTTGAGGAATAAGGGAAAACTTTTAAAAGTTCCCATATTTGAGGAAAACTTCTCCAAACTCGCCACAGATTATGAGGAATTTTCTCAAAAAACGAGGAAAAATCCCACATTCTTGAAGGAGACTTCCTCGAAATCCTCAAATCAAAGGAGTTCCTCAAAGTTTTCACAGAAAATGATACATCGTTCTTATAGTGTTGTGCAAAGATAAATTTGTCATTTTCCTGAGAGCGTGTTCCTGTGCCGAGACCTTTTTGTGCGTGGGAAAAAAAGTCATTACTGTTGCGTGCGATTATTTAACTTATTAGTAGCTTATGATTCACTGCACTGGAAATTCAAGTACTTATACATTTGTCGCACACCCACAGATGTTTGAGTGACCCTGCACATACTTGGGGACGGGTACATAGCTATCTTTTCAAGTGTACGAATCTCTATTCGCACACCTTCAAGTGAGTGAATATTTTGTCGCACTTCTGCAGGTGTGTGCATTTGTACATTTGGATGTCTAGTGTGCACATCCCTGTCAGGTTGCCGATGGTGTGTCAATAAACACGCAGGTTGGGCTTTGCCCTGCCCTGCTGCTGTGCTTCGCGCGTCAGAAAGCGCTCTATTTTAAGGTCGGGCTGGGCCTTTGGTCTAGGCCTGCAGGTCCTGCCTGCTCACCGTGCCTTCACTACCCGTCCCTATCAGTGTGTGAATATACCGAGAAAAATTAAAAACCGTAGGGACCATCGTATGGTTAGCGCAGGGAGCACCATAAATTGATCCAACATTCGCACGGTTGTAAAAATCCATAATACAGTTGTCGTCAAATATTCTGTGGTGGTCCCTGAGCGCACCATTCGATGTTTTTGTCACTGCCAATCAATATTCAGGGTGTGTACCGAACAAACAACTCTATGACCTAAAGCTAAATGTCTTCGTTTTCACAAATCTTCGAAAACCAGAGATAGTGAGAGAGATAACAACGCCCATGAAAAGAAAAGCTAAATGTTAAATGAGCTAAATGAGATTGTATTGGTTGACTTGCGTTGAGCTTGCTCCTGAGATGATGATATAGACGTCAAACGCCTCCTCTAAATAGAGGTGGCAGGCTGAAGCCGTGCCGTGGAACCCATGCAGAGGCAGCCGCCAAATTGTGGGGTCGCCGAGCAGCGCTCTCAACAGGATGTAGGGAGGAAGGAAAAAGACTGGTGCAGCTCGCACAATCCTTTGCACTCACCCGAAGGACGTGCTAGAATAACCTCTGTGAGCGTGAGTGACGTCAACAAACCAAGACGAGCCATTTAGTCCGTTTGACAGCTTTCACCTGATGGCGTGGTTGATGCCTCACTTGCAGACCACATGGCGCACGCTGCCCGTTACCTTATGCTAGGAATAACTTACCTCTGGTCACAAAATATTGTTCAGAATTATCCCTTCCGACTTGTTTTTTCTAATCTTTGGTAGATTCACTGCATAAGTCTTTCATATTGCATAGTACAGCGCGTTCTATGCGGCTCCATTTTGATGCCAATTCTTTAACATGGGAGCGTGACCATTTAGTGGTCCTCTTAATAATCCTTCCTAGCTTCGGAGTTATACTGTAGCGCTCGCATGCTTGCGTGGGAGTTGGCTGCCTACTCGCGCGGGCGCGCGGGGTACTTTACACTTCGGAAAACAATAACTATGCCGATTCGGCCAATTTCAGCAAGCAGGTATTGGTGAGCTGTCTAGTTAACGTGATTTGCGAATTGTTAGCTGTGCACCCATTCAAGTAAGCGATACAGTGAAGAGAATTGTCAGAATAATTTAGCATGGCAGCTAATCTTTCTTACATTTTGGGTTTAGGTTGGAATTTCGGGTTGCGTTAGCTCTCACTGATGACCCACCGCGCCCGTTAAACCATACACTGCCTGAAGGTGTATGGCATTCGTGAATGTGCTTTCACCCCTGGAATGGCTGGCTGTCAAGTAGCCAAATTTACAATTTTTGTACTAGCCTACACTCAGTGACCGTACTCGCACTGGATAAACTAACGTGACCTGCGTCACGTTTCTTGATGCACTCTCAGAAGTGTGAAGTGAAAGTTTTTTGATGAACTCCATTGCATGCATAAGGATAGGGGCATCACAGGGAGAGTGCACCAGGAAACGTTTTCTCTGAGTGCATCAAGAAACGTGACGCACGTCACGTCAGTTTTTTCCAGTGCACCACACTGTAAAAAATCAGAGTTTAATTCGGAACGATCTACAGCGTTGCTGTAGATGTCGCTTTTAGTCACTGCACCTAGGGTACAGAGCGCGGAGTACAGTGTTGCTGTAGCACCGGAAAGCCCAGGTTTTTACACGGTACAGTGTATGAATACGGCTCTACTGTAGACAGGTTTGTCCGGTTTTGCCTGTACGGCGATCCTGTACATTGCTCTCCGTACGAAATTTTAACGATTGAAACTACAGCAATACTGTTATTCGAATAACAGACGTTGCTGGAAAATAATTAGCGGTGGATGCTGTCATTTTCCCTGTCATTATTTTTTGCAGTGCAGTGAAGTACAAAGTCTGACCATCGTGTGCTAATTATTGAGCTACACAGCTATACTGTGCATTACCCAGGGCAAATAATATTCTTTAGCAGAGAAAGCTAGTTCAATGCTGCTAATTGTTTTAGCCATCCATAGCTCCGTGTATTTTTGCTGCTGCTTGTAATAATGGATCAAGTGCCTAACGAGTGCGGCAAAAATGCGCTGGACGTAAGCAACGTAAGTTAACGCCACGTACACGCTGACCTCGCCCCATCTACTCGCAGCAGCCTTAAAGATATCGGGCAAATGTGATCATACACGCTTTCCCTCGACCTGGCCAGTGAACCTACGAAATATGGCGTATTTTGGGTGATGTGTAACTATTAACAACAACTCGATTCTGACACTTTTTCAGCGATAAACGGTTTAGTCCTTAGGTGAGACTCCACGCTTCACACTCCGCTGACTGGGTAAGAGTAGCGCTAACCGGCAGGGGAATCAGCTGTTTGATAAACAGAGACAGCCACGCGGCGCCACGCCTCGTCTGCCTTGGCGCGCGCCGCCCGCGCGGTCAGTGTGCCTCCCCAGCCTAGCAAGGGGTGGGGAGGAAACTGTCAAGGCGCGGAGGGTAGGGGAGGGGTTGAGCGCCCAGCGGCCGCGGCGAGGCTATTCTTGGGACCAATCTCCCAAGATGGGATGGCCGCCAGGGGGCGACATTTCGTACAAGGGGGCCGTCAACGAACGGGGCGGGTGGTCACTTTCACTCTCTAGGAAAGGGTCAAGACCTAGGGCCGTGACCTTGTCGCGACCTTAATGTATCTGTTCTCAATCGAGCTCCGCTTGAATGGTCCTGTTAATCTTATTCTTGTTCGTTTTCTGATTGCAGATACTAGAAGTTGTCATACGTGTGACAAGGTGCTGGAAGAATTGGAAAAGATTGACGATGACACCGACTCGTTTGGAGTGGATTTCGTCAAAATCAATGATAAGCGACTGGCCAAGCATTATGGTATTAAGAACTTCCCCGCACTCACCTATTTCCGAGAAAAGACACCAATCATTTACGAAGGTAGCTGTTTGTAATAAGTATCGTTTATTGATCATATCAACTGATTGCAGTCATGCCAATATAAGTTCCTTGGAACTCGATCAGTATGAAGTGTTCTCTCCTTGGCATACTGCCAATTGGAGTAGGTTAATCTTCTTCAGTTTCTGTAAAATTGTAACTCAGGCCACAAGCCTAAATATTTGTCAACTTTTCTGCATGAAAAAATGCATTAAACAGGCATACAAATGATTATATTTGCTTACAGGAGATCTCATGGACGAAGAAAATGTGCTGGATTTCCTTACAAGCTTGGAAGCGATGGATTTACCTGACAGAATCGAAGAGGTGAACGCCAGGATTCTTGGAAAAATTATTGAGGAAACTGACTTCGTCGCTGTCCTATTTTGTGAGTTACAACCGTTTGCTCGGAACTCATTATAATGTACATACGAAATTCAACTTTATGGTAAAGCAAATTATCAATTTATGTCAATAACTCACAGTCAAACCGATTCGGAAGTTTCTGTCATTATTTTTTAACGATATATTTGACTTGGAAATACAATACTTTTATGACTAGAAACGTCAATGTTTCGTGCAACTAATAACTGACTAAAGACAAGATTTTACCAATGTCCTGTAAATATTGTGTGATTATGTGTTAGTTGACAAGATAGAAATATTTGTTTCACCCCTACTTAAAAATACAAACATTTTTTTAAATGGTTAGACTCACATATAACGTGAGACACGAATTACTATTTTGTAGTTTTACTTTTCGTTTTTGCTTAGCTATACCTTTTTGGGACTTTATATCAACAAAAAGTCAAATCATTTGACTGGTTTTGGGTTGAAATTAGTAGAAGCTTCAACCAAAAATTTTGTACGCCCTTAGCTTGAATTTTTTTTTTGTCGGAAAAGCTCTACTGAAGCTTGATTCTTTAGTTGCAAACTGCATGTTTTTTCATCCTTCGCGGTGCCGCCCCCCCCCCTTTTTTTGAGTTTTGTCTAAATTGTCCGCAAATATTACTGGTCCTGTTAAACTGTGTTTTCATGTCTCGTGTGAGCGAATTTTCAACGAGTCTGGCGATGAGTAGTTGTCTTGACTCAATGTGCACTGCTCGTGTTTACGTCGTCCACACCCAGACTTGCGCTGCCTGTGGCACTTTAAAGTAATGTCTGAAATCACCACCTGGACGGTGTAGTACAGTTCCGGTTTGTTGGATCGTTTGGCTCGAAGCACAGCTGCTGCACATATTTGTTTGAGTAAGAAAAGGCTTATGTAAGAGATTCGTGTACATATTACCCTGTATATCAGAGGAGACGTAGTCTCTCTATGCGAAGGCGCAATGGGTCTGTGTACACTTCACTGATAAACCAACTTGCTACTGCACTTTGAATTCTTGCAAGTGTTCAACTCGGTAGCTGTACACTTGCAAGTGTGTAACTCCTCTGTTGAACACTTCCTTAGATTGGACGCTCGCTGTTTGTAAATTGCTTAACAGAGTAGCAACAGACTTGAAGGTGCACAGCTACCGAGTTGTACACTTGCAAGTATTTAACTTAGTTAACTTAGTCACACACTGCTTGTAGGTGTTAAGCAGGTGAACACTTAGTTTATCAGTGTATAGTTAATCCTCGCGCATGCATATTGAATCCTCATGTTGAATTCTAAATATGTTAAAATTTGACAAGTATCCGTTTTCCGATATCCGATATCCAATTTCAGTTATACTAGTAAGGCTCAAGCACGGTAGCCTCAAGCAATCGAGACATGCATGCGAGCAGATTTACTACACAGATCCCATGTCCACTGCGACCAAAGAGGGTGTGCAACACTGCAGCGTCCGCTCTGATACACCCGGTATAAATAACTAAGAAGGCGTCAGTTTTGTACATTTTGCAAACACTTCATAGGAAAAGATCACCCCTTCAATATAAGGGAGTAAAATTATTTTGTTACTTTGTCTTTAGTCTTGGGTTGCATCAGCTAATGAATGTGCTGTCGAGCAGGCAGACAGCAGAAAGCAAACCACAAAGACCTCGATGATTTCACAAATATGTGTCTAATTTTTTTCGGTCTTACAGAAAAATGAGACAGTTTGCATAACATGAGACAGCAATTGTTGAAATCATCGTGGTGTGCTTTACGGAATTTTGCTAGCACCTCCACGATAGCGTTCTCTTTGGGTTGTAAACGTATACCGGCCTGAGGTGTGGGTTAGCGGTGCGACGATGGCTTCCCTGTCGCATCTACCCGGGCGTGTGTGCTCTGTCCAGTTAGCCCGATGGAAGATCAAATTGTTTAAAGTGCTTCAAGTACATTCGGCCCATAAACCACGCTTTTTGCATCCTAATTATTTTGGCGGCGTTATGACAAAAATGTGTCACTGTTGGTTGTGCGTTGTCTGCGTGTGGTCGGCGTGCCCACGGGCTTCAAGGCCACCATAGCAAAACAACGCTCTGACGGAGTCTGTTTGCCACCCTTAGGTCCAGGAGCGAAAACATGCCCACCAGGATCTCAGAGTAAGTATTTTTCCACACAAACATAATATCACGACAAGCAGGATGTCGAATGTCAAATATGGATTCGGGTGTAGATGAAAATAACCACACTTCTAAATCTTTCCTTTCTTGCAAGGAGCGTGGCCATCGGTCACTAACCTTTTCACGTGCAAATGGCACGAGTCTGCTTGTGGTGCCCGTTTCTTTGCTTGAGATTTGGCCGGATTGGTTTTTACCAGGGTATATAATCATTACTGTTACACTCTTTTCTCTCGAAAGTAACTGGGGTTAAGCGCATAAAGGCATCCAAGGTTTGGCACGGATTTTTCAAGCATGTCGAGCCATTTGTTTATGACAGTCTTGTTGACAAATATAGCTCAGTGATTTAAGGGTCGTCATGCACGAGACCTCCTTGTTACTTATGTATGCATTGCACGATACTGAAACCCGAAACTTACGTGCTGAAGAGGGCAGACCGGTTAAAATACAAGTTTCTTAATAGAAAATTTGCCTCAAATGAAGTACATTGTCGCAGCAAATTCCAGTATCGATGTATACTTCATTTATTGCGAATTTTGTACGCAAACCACGGAAGCTATGCACTTTGTACGATCTGCCCTCTTAAAAGTTAAATAATTATGTATGCTCCAGTTTGAAGTGGTGGGTGTCCATACGGGTACGGCAATGCTTTACTACGACTCTTTCGCCTGCATACAATAACAGCTTATCTTCGCTGGCTATGTTTGCATTGTTATGCCTCTTTTGTCACTCTTTTGTTTGTCTATAACATTGAGCTTGCTAGCTGAAAATAGCGCCTTGGCCAATCACTAAAATTGTTTTTATTTCATCATTACTGTTGTACTTAGAAAGCAGATGATTTAGGCTCGTAGAGTAATAGTTCATAATATTCTGATGCGCAGACAAGCCCGCTTGCAAGAAGTGTACGAAGGCCCTCATGGAACTGGAGAACATAGATGACGAGGCTGACCAACTAGGCATTGGTTTTGTAAAAATCGCCGATGAATCGCTTGCCGAAGAATACAACCTTGGCGAACTTCCTCGTCTGGTGTACTACAGACATCAAATACCTATAATTTACGAAAGTAAGCCGTTCGATTACTAGAATTCAAACAAATTTATTTGAAATGTGTTATATAAATACCGTAATAAAATAAAATTGACTGTCAACAGACGAATTGACAAAAGAGGAGGATGTTTTGGAGTGGCTTGTGCAAAACAAATCTACTGGTGACGAAGAAGATGTAATTGAGGAAGTTACATCGAAGACTCTCGACACACTCATCGGAAGCATTGACAACTTGGTCGTCCTCTTCTGTAAATTAATTTAGATAATTTTTTGAAAAGTCAACGATATTTGTAGATTTAAAATTGTATTAACAAACCTGTCCTCTTTTTGCAGACGACAACGATGATGAGGACTCGATGCAGGTGCTAGGCGAATTAGAAAAGATTGACGATGACTGTGATAAACACGGAATTCAGTTTGTCAAGATTGATGACGAAAAAGCAGCTCAAGCCTTTGGAATTGATGAAGTTCCTGCAATTGTCTACTTCGAAAAGCAAATTCCAAATGTTTATGACGGTGATATTGAAAATGAAGATGAGATTTTGGAGTGGCTTGTTGATCAACTCGAAAAGGATGAGATCGAAGACGTCACTGATGAAATGCTCGATCGCCTAATTAAAGAAGGGAAAAATATGGCGGTTTTATTTTGTAAGTAGGGCTGCATTAACTTCCTATGACGTGCTGTCGCGAGAAATCTGACTTGACCTGGCACAAATAAGTCGATTCAAAAAAAGTAAGAATTCGTTAAAAATACTAACCGGTCTATTTATATTTTTTGCAGATGATAACAATGACCGAAAATCCCAAAGGGTCCTAAACGAGCTTGAAAACATTGACGATGAATGTGATCAGCATGGTATTGTGTTTGTCAAAATTGATAATCCAGAAGAGGCAAAGGAATATGGAATTGAGAAGATACCAGCACTTATGTATTTCGAGAAAGGTATTCCAATGATGTATCCGGGAAATCTAGAGGAGGAAGAAAAGGTTCTTACCTGGCTTGAGCATCAAATAGCTCATGACGAGATTGAAGATGTAACTGACGAAATGTTGGATATTCTCATTGAAAAAATGCATCACGTGGCGGTATTGTTTTGTAAGTTTCGTCACATTACCATGAAGATTCAGATTTAAAGTTAAAATTTATAAAGTACTCTTGTTTTCTTTTCAGATGACGGTGATCAGAAGAAAAGTCAGAAAGTCCTGTCTGAATTGGAAAATATTGATGACGAATGTGATCAGAATGATATTGCCTTCGTGAAAATCGACAACGATGCTGAAGCCAAGGAGTATGGTATCGAAGATCTTCCAACTCTTGTATACTTCGAAAAACGTATCCCTCACGTATATGATGGTGATCTTACAAAGGAGGATGAACTTCTTGGTTGGCTTCTCCATCAAAAACGGCATAGTGAAATCCCAGACGTCACAGATGAAATGATGGACATTCTGATTGAAAAAACACCGTACCTCGCTGTTCTTTTCTGTAAGTAGTGAGATTTGATCGCCTTACGACTTTGATTTATTTTTCCACGTTTTACAATTTTTATTTATTTTGCAGATGACAAGGAAGACAAACAAGACATTCGAGTGCTAAACGAGCTGGAAAATATTGATGACGATCTAGAGCGTGAGGATATTGTAATAGTCAGGATGGACAATAAGGACGAGGCAAAAGAATACGGCATAGACCACTTACCTACTCTAGTTTACTTCGAGAACAAAATTCCTGCCCTGTACGAAGGTAGGTGTATATATATATTGATGCTTTATTATTGTGCTTCATATAAATTACAATCAGAATCTAAAATTAATCGTTTCTCACAGGTGACCTTATGAATGAAGACGAAGTCTTGAGATGGTTAGTTGAACAGAAACATACCGCAACTATTGAGGAGGTTACGGATGAAATTTTACGGGATCTCGTTGAAGAGCATGAATACGTCGTAGTTTACTTCAGTAAGTCACTACTGCGTTTGTTTCCACTTCGCCCATGGTATATCCTGGTTATAAAATGTTGTCAGCTATAGTTGATCAGTGTAGCATGCCACGTAGGGACCCAAGTTATCACCGGTGAAACAAAGGTGTGACTTCATACCTTTTCAGGGGTGTTAAAGTTACAAAGGCATTAACGTTTTAGTTTTTCCGAAATATTTTGTGCTGAAGCAAACCAAGGTATGTCACACCAGTGAATTTGTAGGTGTGTTTAAGCTTTCTTACTCAATGTGCAAAATCTAAAAGCTTCAGCCCGTCTACTTGAATGTAACCCCAGCAGTTGAGATTGTGTCTGCTGTTGTAATCTTGCCCAGTTTTGTCTGTACGCTAAGGCGTGGGTAGTAGACAGACCCCTGAGTAAGAATACCAGCTCGCTCGAGCCAGATGGGAGGTGGGGGCCCCCTTCTCCCTAGCCCCCGCCTGCCAGTGGCCGCTCGCCGCTCCCCACTCTTGCTGGGTGGCATCCGGAATGAGATCACTCTGGCAGGTTCTTCGACGGAGTCGTGAGCGCCGTAGTTTCTGATGACACTCTTACGGCTCGACACAATAATTTTTTTGTAAAACCATTTTAAATTTCGAATATGACATACGACGTTAGGCTGGGCGATGCGCTGCCAAGAACGTGGGGATGCGTGCATTGCACATTACCTGGATAACTCGTTCCCCAGTACAACGGTTGGCGATAACATTAACCTACCTCAATTATTTTGTATTGTTACAGGTGGCAAATGTGAAGATGGAGAAGACTGTGATGACATATTAGACGAACTTGAGAACATTGACGATGAATTGGATGAAACTGGCATCATTTTTGTAACAACAGAGGATATTAATTTCGCTAAGAAGACGGGTATTAAAAATTTCCCGGCTCTTGTATTCTTCCGAAACAAAGATCCCCTCACATACAAAGGTTTGCAATTCAGTGGTTAGAAAACATATTCAAAATAAAGGATTGATTGCTTTTATTTAAAACATCCTTTCCGTCTACAGGTGACTTAGAGGATGAGGATGAGGTTCTTGCTTGGATCACTGATGAAGACACTCTTGAGATTCCGGGTCGTATTGAGGAAGTTAACGCTCGTATGCTGGACAACATTTTAGATGAAAATGATCACGTTGTTGTCTTTTTCTGTGAGTTTCCGCTTTATCCTATGTGTTAATAAGTTCAGGCAAATATTTGAAAAAAATTGTTGTTCTACTATTCCAGACAAAGAGGGTGACAAGAAAAGTCAGAAGGTTTTAGCAGAGCTTGAAAACATTGATGATGAATGCGAGGAAAAAGATATCGATTTTGTCAAAACGTCCGACGAAGGAATTGATAAGGAGTACGACTTGCCTTCTTTACCTGCTCTTGCCTTCTACAGACACAAGTTCAGGAAAATTTACGACGGTAAGCCTTCTACCTCTCGCGATTTTGCCCATTTAGAACGATGTGTTGATTAACTGCCTATTTTAGGAGACCTCATGCACGAGGAGCAAATTTTAGAATGGGTGCTAGACTTGCACGAATCAACTCCTGATGTCATTGAAAGTGTAGATCGGAAGACACTGAGGGTATTAATAGAGGATGTTGAACATTTAGCTGTTTTCTTCTGTGAGTAATTTTTCTACTGACGTGTGTTACTGGTATTTCATTTGGAATGTTCATATATTTTGGCATACTGTTAATACTCCAGATGACGATAAATGTGGAAAACAGTGCGATGATATACTCGAGGAGCTGGAAACTATCGACGATGACACTGATAAACATGGAATTCAATTTGTCAAAAGCAAGGACTCAAAACTTGCTTCAGAGATTGGTATTTTTTCATTTCCTGCTCTTGTCTACTACGAGACCGGTGTTCCCATCATGTACGACGGTAAGTCACGATCAACTGGTATACGTTTCAGCCGATATGTAAGATACATGAACAGGCGGATTAATCGTGATCGAGCATTGCATTCCGGCATCTCCTATCATTGGTAAGACCTGGAAAGGGTTAGCCGCCGTGAGATCTTGCCCATGAAGTTCACTTAGATAAGTGAACTTTTTAAGTTATTTCATAGCACTTTTCCTGGTTCTCTACGAGTGACGTTGCGACAGACGTCGGAGCGCCAATTATATTATGATAAATCACTGCGTTAGATCAAGTTGCTAAATACACTGTATGACATGTCCTCAACTGTATGGCAAACGTTTAGTTCTACGAATTTGTATTGGTGTAAGTTCTTATTTGTCCCGAGAAGCATCGATTCAGCAGGATCCGGAATTACAACATACAGGTAAACTTCGAGCTTTGAAAAGGGAAAATCATCATCCTTGGCTTGCTATGAGTATTAGAAATCACTTAACATTCCGAAACATGTGATGCATGGATGAGAAACGTCATAATGCCGACAGTAAGGTCATTCCAAATTCAGACATGAAAGAAAAGAGTCAAACACTACAGTTCGAAGATAGATCATAGTTATTTAATTGTCTTTAAATTAAAGCTTAGCGGATGGCAACCCGATGATTCAGCGGATATGTATGCTCTCAGTACCATTCTAACCACTAACCTTGTTGTGCATCTTTTTCTAGGAAATCTAAAGAACGAAGACAAGGTTCTGGCTTGGCTTGTTGAGCAAAAAAGTAAGACTTGACTTTAATTTGTTTATGCTAACATTCATTCATGTTTCTCCTTTCTTAAATTGTAACTTATTTAGCATTAACCCACACCAATAGAAATCTTTCTAGTACATGTAACTTTTGCAATCAACACATTCAATTCTATCTTATTTGAGGTCCATGTGTGTGTTCGGCAGAACGTTTTTTGGGGCACAATGTTATTTTTCTCGTACGCATGAGCTGCATATTGTGGTTCCTACGAATTTCCTTGCTCATAGATCGTTTATGTTTTAACTTTTTTAAGGCACTCCTTTGTTGTTTTTCTGGCGTTCCTTACAACACTTGTCTGCCCTCGCTTCGTTTAAATTCCAAAATCACTCATACAATGTAACTTTAATAAATACACACAATTCTGCAACATACGCTCTTTTCATTTTATTTCACTGGTTAGGACAGATATTCATTAAAATTTCAAGCTTCAGATGTTTTTTTTATTCATTTTTGAACTGAGCACACACATTCACATGCACGAAGTGTTCTGATTCTGGATGTAGGGGCCGTATTTGTGTAAAGTTGCTAATCCAATGCTTTGCCCAAGATTGACCTCTTTAAAGAAACGGTACCAACCGAAGGGCCTTTCAGAGTTTTATGGGAAGGCTCCTATCATCCAGAGATCAGCTGCATGTCCAAATTTCATGTTTCTGCTGTCTTTGGGGAAAAGTTTTGTCATAAACTTTTCTAGAGGTATGTAACTGAATAAGCCTATGGTTTTAAGCAGGCTGACTAATAACACGTCGCTTCTTTTGGTGACTGCTGCATAACTAGCTTAGCTGTCTTCGTCTTCTAAAATTAATGGTGCCGAAACACTGCCTTCCAAATTTTCTTCTGAATGTGTTTTGATCGTCAATAAAACCCCAAAGGCAGTGAAAACATCAAAGTTTGCACTCTTCGTAGCATATTTATATTTGTTTTATTTTCCCTTAAAAATAATTAGTAACGTATTGGGAGAACACTGAACTATTTTTTAGTTTGTAAAATAGCGTTATGGACATAGTTAATAGGGGTAAATGATCCCGCGCAGGTGATGATAGCGATGAAGATGACGATGACGAAGACGACGACGATGAAGATGATGATGATGATGATGATGATGACGATGATGATGACGATGATGATGATGATGAAGATAGCGAAGAAGATGACGATGATGATAGTGATGAGGATGACGACGATGAGGAGGATGACGACGACGACGATGATGATGATGATGACGATGACACAAAACACAAGGGCTCAATCGCTTTAAAAAATTCAGGTAATGGTGAAAATGGGGCTTACAACGCTTACTTACAGAAACTTCTTGCAAAAATTGAAAACCAGAAACGTTTGCAAGAAGAGCTCGAGCAATTGGCTCCAAAAAAGCGATTGAACAAGTCCTACTTGCGTCGGCAAGGCCATATGTGATAAGCGGTGGGAGGCATGTTGTGTGTGCAGCTTCGTAGATCCGTCTCCTCCCGGGCTTCCAAGATACAACCCTTTTCAAGACCAGCCTGTAGTTGCCTTAAATGACCAATAGTGCGGTACAGTAAATAAAGCATTTGAAGAGTAGACAGGGGTTCGGCACCAGAAGATTCCTTAACAGTAGATCTGAGCTCTTACACTAACCAGCGTGCTTACATGCATAATGGGGCCATTTTGCTTAGCTCTGTCGTAACGCGTATGAGCTAGGTAATAAATATATTTATTGGCACAAAGCGCATTATTGACAGGGCTACGCTTTGTGAAGAAGCAGCCAAACTTTGCAGCAGACGAGCGGTCGGGGGACCTTTATCCATGCCAGCCTCGCCCCAAAAGACAGCTGGATCGAAGGCTTAAAAAAATATCCTCTAATTACAATCCTTACACCTTAATCTTGATACTGTATCCCTCATTTTAAATATCTTTTTTTTCTGACAATTCTTCTCTGCTTACTGACATCATCCATGTTCAACTCAATATCCTTAAAGTTCACCTCAGACGAGAGCAGGTGCATAAATATCCTATTGTTCGTCACTAACCGAATCTAAATTGGTTGAGTTTTGATGATGTTGTTTTACTTACTATTAACTCCCTGAAGTAGCGTTTGGAAAGTAAATCCCAGGGTGAATTCACCCCCTGCATAAATAAGATGTTTTTTCTAATAAATTCTATGTTAAGTAATTCTTTTAAAAATAATCCTTACACAAACTCCCTGCCTGTCCCCTGACCCGACTGTTCTGTCTGCTGCAGGCGACGGCTGTTTCTTCATCGGCTTGGGGGGGAAAAGTGTGCCCCCCACTTCCTCCGCATATGACTCCTTCCAGTGCTGCCCATCCAAGGCTCAAAAGGGCAGCCGCGTGGCGAAAGCGAGTCCAGTGCAGAGCAAGGTCAGCAAAGGGTCGAGCAGAGATTCGGGAGCGAGCGCCGGAGGAACGCGCGCACGGGGGCGGAACAACAAGCTCCAAGACTTCGACGATAAGGCAAAGTCAAAAAAAGGCAGCTCGATCGGGTCAGCAATTGTGCCATCTGTTCGTGACAAGGCTACCAAAGGCAAAAAGGGACTGGGCAAATTTATATGGTGGTGGTAAATACAATGACAATTTTCGCCTGGAAGGCGAATGGTGCACAATACAACCTGGGCACACCAGGTGTTCTAAGTAAATAAATTAAAATACTATTTTACGCGGCTAAATATAAGAGACTTGATACAAATCTATTCCAGCAAGCCTTCGTATTTGAAGTGAGACGTGTAATGAATGCTCAAACGCCTATCTGTTAAATTCTAAATATGTTTTCGTTTCTTGGAATACAAAAAATATAAATATTATGTGAACGAAAAATATGCTCTGGACTAATCGATGTAACTAATGTGAGCATGGCTTCTCATTTATTTTGGAATAGTGTGCAAAGTACTTAAGAATGCCCTATTTTACTTAAAGATTGTCAACTTCATCATTTTAACCGATTTTTCAGGTGGCCACATTATTCTACTTCAGTATTATTGTTGACATCGTGATGGAATTGCTCAGTAGATTTTTTGTGATGCTAGATGGTGTGCCGTATGAAACGGGAGTCGGAATCCAGTGATATTTATGGAACGTTTTGGGAAACGACCCTGGGGAAGGCAGGAAGACTTTGTAATGACGAGGTTAAGCTAAATGCGCTTGAATTCCCCGGATACACTGTACTGATGTTTCCTCTACGCATTTTGTGTGACATTAGTATGCAATTTGCATAAAACAGATCATAGACAGAGTTGTGAAGTTGGTCTCAGTAAGAGGTCCTCGTCGATTTAGATACTAATGGTCAGAAAAAAAAATCGACGTCGTTTAGACGAAATTGTGTCCAATCGACGTCGCTTCTCGAGCCACGAATGGCGTCCAGTCACATTATCGACTCTTACAATTGGATAGTATCAAACTCGGTGTTTCTGGTCTACGGTAGGTCAGCCAGCTGCGGCGTGTCTCCGGCAGGGCTTCAGCTCCACATTAGTGTGGCGGGTGTGTTGGTGACGAATGGCCTGCCACCTCTAAGGCTATGTAGGGCGTTGACGTGGTAGCTTTTTAAATTTACTCGCAGCCAAGTGCTGCTCGACAGTTCCGATGTTTGACTGGAAACCGATTGTATGAAGGAGTTAGCCGGTGGTACTTCGTAAGTATCACGAACAGAGCTCCACACTGTCGAAGATGCGGCTAGCCGTCATAACTGCGTCTACCTCACCCTGATACGAGCTGAAGCCATCCCGAGTAGGGCCGACGCGGCGGTCTGCCCGTCAATTCGCCGTTCTTTCCCACTTTGGGACTCTAGGAAGCGCTGTACAGGTACAGCCTTCAGCAATACTGTTTGCAGCCACTCTACATTGACACTGCAAAAAGCCGACTGAATTACAGTAGATAACTTGCGACAGTGTATAGAAATTACTCAGACTGATGGGGACCACTTTTCATTACGTGCATAACATAAGTTAAAACGGGTTGTAGCTATCCGATTAGTCTATTTCACAATACAACTCCAATATTGTGCTTGAAGGTTTGTGACCTAGATTGACTTCCCGCTCAGAATATCGTCGAGAGTTACTCTTGGGGAATTTTATTTTGTGTACAAGCTTGTATTTTGGGGATATTCCACTCATACATCATGCACACCCTAATTTATTAGAACGATGGAAGGTGCTTCCTGATCCCTCGCATCAACTGCGGTTCGACATTTCAATGCCCTCGCTTCTGAAATTCTGCCCATAGACGTGACCTTCGT